CAGCCCACCTAAGGGTGACTCTGCAGAGCCCACCATAGACTCTCTATGGTAGGCTCTGCAGGGTCTCAGGTGGGCGGTCAAGCCCTCTTACCTGTCAGCCCCGATCCTCTGTCCGCCTCCTTCTCCTCCACGATCGACTCCTCCGTCACTGGGCCCCGCCTCCTCGATCACCGGGCCCCGCCTCCTCGATCGCCGCCGATGACGGGCCCAGCCACCTCCTGCGAAGCTGCTGGTTGTCACCAACTCAGCAGCGGCTGTGAAAAGGAACGGAGCGTTCCTCCTCACAGCCGCCAGTGACAGCCGGCAGCCTGGCTGTCCGAGCAAGATGCCATAGCGACCCAGGCGGCCCGCATGACATCAGGGAGATGTCCTGGCCATGCCCCGGGCCCCATAGCGGCCGCCTGGGTCGCTATGGTGATTGTTACGCCACTGGTCACCTTCATATGCAAAGCCGGATATCTTGAGGGTGTCTTCCCAATGCGCATACACCCCTATCAACACCACAGGGTGCAACGCTTGATGTCCTGTCCAGATGAAGGAATGTCACCTTTATCATCTCCCTTGCCATGCCTCCTGCAGGCATGAACAACACACAGTTGGTTTCTTTGATGAGCAATGCACTCTCAGAGTCAAGATTTGAAGATAGCTGTTCGGCAGTTTTCGTACATGAAAATGTTGTACATTCCAACAGGTGCACCACTGGTCCCAGAATCTTTTCTGCTCTTATAGGAGGATAAGGGGGCTGTTCAGCTGCAGATGGACGGTACATTCCCACAAAGGGAAAAGGGCCTTTTTTCTTTTATATTCCTACACAGTTCCTGCACAGACACACAAAACCTCTGACAAGATCATAACTATTCCATTTCCATAACTAGATGTATATTCCATATTATATTATTCATCTTGTAATCGTTTGCTGCTTTGTAATTAAACACATTTTGGTTTTTATTTCCTCTTTTAAACGTTTCTCTCCCTTAAAACAATTTCTTCAAGTTTATAGGATATGATAAAAAAAAATGACAATGAACATGAACCCCCATCCAAAGGTCTGAGAGAAAGGTGATGTTAATGTTGCAGCATAAAAAGACATTTCTACAACCGAACTCTTCCAGCCTCATGGTCACAGTGTGGTGAAGGCCCTTTTCTGTTCCACCATGACTGTCCCCTGTGTACAAAGTCAGCTCCATAATGACATGGTGTGACCAGTTTGGTGTGGAGGAGCGTTTATGGAAGATCCCAGAACAATGAAAGTATAACCAGTCCTGGGCATAATCATAGAGGTAATGGGTGGGCAGTGGCTTTATAATGGTCACGGGTGAGATGTCCATGATGTTTCCATTCACCAAAGGTGACCATAGACTGGCGAGTGTCTCCTGCTCTTAATGGCCAGATCAGGTCACAACAATCCCACATCTGCGGGGCAGTGCATGACAGGCCCAAATGAGGATTCTCTGGCAACAAATAGTAGAATCCCCTGCACAGTTGTGGTTGCCACTAAACTTTTTTTTTTGCATTGCTCTCAATCATGTGACTTGTCCGCTCCTAGTCTGGCCTTAGGGGGTAATAACAACTGCAGTTTTATGTACGTATTTCCCCTATTTTTCACCACCTATGGCCAGCTTTATTCCAGATTGGAACTGACATGAGTGATTCCTGTCCCCTTCCTATGTCATGAAAGGCTAGCTTCATTCTTCTGCTCCCCTCATGTCTCATCATGACGCTTCTGTCTCCTTGGTAGGTGCCAGTCTCTGTCTGCAGTAACAGCTGTCGGCCCGGGTACAGGAAAGCCCCTCTACAAGGAAGACCCATCTGCTGCTATGACTGCGTGCCCTGCTCTGAGGGAGAGATGTCCAATCGCACAGGTATAAGAGAGTGAAGGGGATGAACCTTTGAAATTGGTGACGGATGGTTAATCGGTTTTTGTATCTTTTATGGGCATTGTTCCAGGCCTGTCCATCTGGGATAAGCCCTGGCAAGAGATGGAAGGATTATGTTCCTTCTCCAAATATTAAGCTTAAAATGCAAAGTTTTCAAATAAAAATGTAATTTAAGTAGAAAAAAGTTAAGCAAAACCATACCAGCACATGATCAATGTTTCTGCACCTTTCAGTCATTTGTGAGTCATAGACGTTAGTTCAGACTCAGTAACTGCTCCTCACCTATATCAGTCACCTTCTACATATATTTCTTCTATGCAGAGTCCAACATTGGACGTCACCTAGTACATACAAAGCCTCGGCAGGACGTCCATAGCCATACATGTAGATTAGGCAGGACACCGCAGAGGGCCAAAGAGCCAGGCTGAGATGAGTCCAAAGGAAAGACGCATAGTCAGAGATCTGGTCTATAGCCAGCATCGGTAGGTTGAAAGGGCAATATACCAAAGGCAACATCTTGAAGGATCTCCTCTTTATAAACGGGTAATACTGCGGGAATCAATATGTCCATAAAACTTGTGTAACATCCATATGATATAACCAGCGTCCAGTATGGTAGTCCTGCCCCCTCCACAGTGAGTCCTTATTCTACAGAAGCAGACACATCCAGTAATATGGATCTCATACCTGTTGTTTTCCCACCCCTAGTCATGTCTTGGACATTACAACCACAGTAGATTACTGTCAACCTTGACACATTTCTTGACTGCAGTAACGTCCTTTACACAAACAGCTATAAATGCTGGACGGGGTAAGTTACCAACACTCATTTAAACTGTGGAGGGCACCTTACTGGATGATGAGACACCTCTAACACAACAGGACAAGTTCAGCTGAATGTGACTAACTGCTAATATCTATACCATGGCCTGGAAAAGGGCCCTTTACTATCCCAGCATACCTGTGCCCGTGTGCACAAAGCCAGAACTATAAAGGCAAAGTCTGACCAGTTCGATGTGGACATAGATTGAACTGGATGGACCTGTGTCTTTATTCAGCCATGCCTACTATGTCACTCAAATGTCCAGAATCCTGACCTCAGATCTATTGAACGCCTTTGAAGGATCTCCAGTTGAGAGCCAAGTCTTCTCAGTACCGGACCTCACAAATACTCGCTTGGCTGAATCTTGTGGAAAGCCTTCCCAGAAGAGCGGTGGCTGTTATAGCTGCCAAGGGTTGTCCAGTAAGCTCCTATAGGCGTGATGGCCACAAACCTCTGGCCATATAGTATGAATGTAATGAGCAAATATACTGACATGTATGAAGGTTCATTTATTAACCTGTATTTGTAGGAGGAGATTATGGCTATTTAAACTCCTCCTCTTCCCTTTCCTGCCTGATGTTGGAGGGGGATGCGTTTGTCCCCACCCACCCGTCCATCTTCATAACTTAAAATTCCATCACCTTTTCATTTGGTATGCCCCCTTTTAGGTGTACCTAACAGCGTGGCCACGGGCACACCTCAGGCCACACTATATCTATTATACGGTATATATACCCGACCACAAATACTATTACAAACTATAAAATGAGTATTATACAACATACATACTGATAAGAATGTCATTGAAAACATCTGTATAAATTACTGCAACCAAAGACAAGATTTATCCCGAGCATTCATATACAATGCCCATATTCTTTTTTTAGATGCGGATCAGTGTACCAGATGTTCCTCCGATCAGTGGCCCAATGAGGAGAAGGATAGGTGTGACCCAAAGATTATAGAGTTCCTCTCATACAATGAACCATTGGGAATCATGCTGCTGTTAACATCTCTCATGTTGTCAACCCTCACGCTCTGCATCTTAATTATCTTCATTCAGTTTCGGGAAACTCCCATCATCAAAGCCACCAATAGGGAGCTGAGCTTCATCCTGCTGGTGTCTCTCATTCTCTGCTTCCTCTGCTGTCTGGTGTTCATTGGTCAACCGTCCCCTTTCAGTTGTCTCCTGAGACAAACCTTCTTCAGTGTGGTCTTCTCCATCAGCATCTGCTCGGTCCTGGCCAAGACTATCATGGTGATCCTCGCCTTTAAGGCTACCAGGCTGAACAGTCCGTTGAGGAAATGGCTCGGTCCCACCATCCCTCGTAATGTTGTTGGGATCTGTTCTATTTTGCAGATCAGCATGTGTACACTTTGGCTATACAGGTCCCCTCCTTTTCCCGTGCTGAACACCAAAGGCCCTAAGATAATATTTGAGTGTAATGAAGGACAGAAAGTATTCTTCTACATGTCTCTGGGGTTCATGGGCTCTCTGGCCATGGTGAGTTTCCTGGTGGCCTTCCTGGCGAGGAACCTCCCGGGAAGCTTCAACGAGGCCAAACTGATCACCTTCAGCATGCTGGTCTTCTGCTGCGTCTGGATCTCCTTCATCCCGGCCTATCTGAGCACCAGTGGAAAATACACTGTGGCTGTTCAGATATTCGCTATCCTGGCCTCCAGTGCAGGACTGCTGAGCTGTATATTCCTGCCGAAATGTTATATTATCCTGCTGAGACCAGAGAGGAACCATCGAGAGTTCTTATCAGGAAGTAGAAAGAAGAGGAATCTGAGGAAATGAAACCCGTCCTCGCTGTATAGAGTCGATGTATAAAAGGAATCATTTCATTTGTTTCATCTTTAAATCTTCATAAACTTGCAGAGAACATCGGGTACCAGTCAAGGTCGGCCGATCGGCAGGAAACGTTGTCTCCTCTTTAGTCAATTTCATTTTAACTTCAAAGCCGACAACCATCAGTCACAGACTCCGGAAATAACATATTCCTCCTTATGGTTTATCCCAGTCAGAGGAACACAGATGTACCCGGTATTACATTAGTATAATGGAATATTTGGTAGTTCTATTTTGTACATAGTGTAGGGGTGTGTGGGGGGGGGGGGGGGCGCAGACATTTTTATTGCTACACATCCAGGCTCTGCCCCTGCCCCTGAGTGATTGTGCGTTGCTGTTCCTCTCTGTCAGTGGAAGTCGACCATTCAGCAATCATTGAAATATTGAACATTGCAGATTATTATGGTCTGAGGTTTCAGGTCTGCTGGGCTGTAAGAGAGAGAGCTTCAAAGAGGGTGAAAGGCACCGCTTGGTGCTTGCATTACAAGGCCGGAGCCTGTTCAGTGTCCTTAGGGTGACGTCAGGTGTAGATTGAATTATCCGATGACACGCAGACTATGAACGGAGGATATCATCATTTATGAGATGGAAGTTTGTGGGAATAAAAGGATCTGATTCCAGAACATCGGGTTTTTATGCAGCCAAGAAAAGTCCCATTTATACATTTTCATTAGGAAATCCAATAACTCAGCAATGATATAACCAGCGGTGTACTAAGGAGGAGAAGTCCCTACCCGTCGTGCTTCCAGACAGTTCAGAGTACTAAAGTACCAGAGTATCAAACTAATGGTGATTTACTTATACATTTGGGTAGATGCTTGGTATGAAGGCGTCACCAGGGCTGTAGCTACCATGGGGAGAGTGAGGCACTCGCATCAGGCGCATCTGAGAGGCGGCGCAGCCAGGACCCCCTCGCCCCTGTTGCCATGGTGAGCACAGGGCGCCATAGGCAACAGGGGTGCCAGACGGCCAACACAGCCGTAGCTCGGCAGGGAGGAGAGGAGCGGACACAGGCTCCACCTTCCCCTCCGATCCCCGCTGCTCTCCCCCCCCCCTGTATGGGCCGAGGACTCTGTGTCCTCCATCTCTTTTTTTTATTTCAGAAGGGAAATTTCAGGGGTCTGTTTAGGGATAGACAGAGGAACCCTCCGCCCTGAGGAAGGGACCCTATGTGGCCCCGAAACGTTGGCTTTTGTTACTGTGACGCTTTGTCCAATTAAATGGACATATTGAAAGATATCGCTGAGTGCTGGTGATCTTTGTCTCTACTAGGGGTCTGTTAAGATCCCAGATATTTCCCCCGAAGCCCCCCAACAGTAAACAAAAACAAAAAACAAAATCCCCCACACACACACTCACATATTACTAGACATGTGCAAAGACTCCACCCTGGAGGCGGGGCGCATGACATCACATACCGCACATGTCTGTTGGGGGGGGGGACAATTTTCTGTTCTTGCCTCGGGGAGCAAAAGGAGCGAGCTACGGCTCTGGGCGTCACCATCGTATTTAAATGTATACATTGTGTGTAGATTGTGAGTTCTGCAGGTAACTAAAGTCACTTATTTGCCTGCTAATCTATGTAGGACGGGCGTGGAGGGCAGGCAAGGCTGGTGTGATGACAAGCCTGAGTAAAATAGTAATACAATAACATTCCGCGCTCAGGACTCCCACAATTGGGGCGAGATAGAAAGCCGCTATGCTCAAAGCATCCTCGCTCTTCCATAATAACAATGATATTTTAACAACCGCCATAGCAACCCAGGCGGTTGCTATGGGGCCCGGGCACAGAGGGGCCCGACCAGGGCATCCCTCTGATGCCGTGTGGGCCGCTGTGGCATATCAGGGTGCTGGCTGTCACTGACACAGCTCCGAGGCGGCAGAAGAGGCCGGTTACACCGGTGTTCGATCGAGTTCTCGCACCGCCGCAGTGAAGAAGGAGGTGGGGCCCACCTAAGAGCAACCCCGCCTCCTCTTACATCACTGGCCAGCGTCCTAAGAGCAGGTGGGGCCAGTGATGTAAGAGGAGGCGGGCGCGTCGATAGAAGGAGGTGGGGCCCGGGGACGGAAGAGGAGGCGGGGCCCGGCGACCACGGAGCCGGACAGCGCGCCGCTGACAGGTAAGGTGTGCAGCCAATCTGAGACCCTGCAGAGCCCACGATAGAGAGTCTATGGTGGGCTATGCAGGGTCACTCTCAGGTTGGCTCTGCAAGTGGCATAACTAGCAATCACGGGGCCCCATACAAAATTTTGCTATGGGGCCCTGTGATTTCTAGTTACGCCCCTGGCGCTATGTATATATATATAAGATCCCAGCAATGTGTAAAATACCCAAATGAGCTACAAAAACAAATCACTTCAATGAATAAAGAAAGAAAG